TTCTTGAGAAGCATTTGTTTGTCACAATCTATCTATACTATATTCAAATGCGAGTGGCAGCTATCTCCCATGTTTAAGCATAAAAAAATTTTATGTTTAACGAAAGATTTTTTTTCATGTTCAAGCTATATCATATACTGCAATGCATAAGAAACTTTTTCAATTAGTTTTCCGCGAGGTCATTATTTTTTCAGTTTTTTTTTCGAGGCCAAATTAAGTATGTCTGTCTGTCTGTATACCTGCTTTTTTAATTAATTTGATTATGTCTGTCCACCGGTCTCCCAATTTGTTATGTTAACTTTTAATTTGGTTTCGACGATTTAGTTCAAAATAGTACTAAAGTCAAATGGTTGCCTCCAATCTTTCTTTCTCTTTATCTGGATTTTCTATTTTTTTCTATCTTTTTTGTTCGTCTTTCTATCTTTTATTTTTCTTTTTCGACCTTTTTTCTATTTTTTTTTTCAATCTTATTTTTTTAGCTTCATCTTTTTTTTCTATCTTTTTTTTTGTTCTTTCTCTTTTTCTTTTCTTTTTTTCATTTTTTCCATCTTCCCTTAATTTTTTTTCTATATTTCCATCTTTCTATTTCTATCTTTCTATTTCTTTCTATCTTTCTTTTTCTATCTTTTGCATTTTTCTTTTTTGTCTTTCTTTTTATCATTCTTTTTATCTTTCTTTTTTATCTTTCTGTTTCTTTTTTTCTATCTTTCTTTCTTTTTCTATCTTCGAAATTCCTTACCCTGTAGTTGGGTGCTTTCAGGGTACTCACAGGTGTAGCAAATCTTGCCTCCAAACTTGACTGCTCAAATCTTTGAGGTTATCGAGATATGACGTTTTTTGTGACTTTTTCAAAAAAAACCCAAACAAAACTTTTTTCAAAGTTTGAAATTCCCAACCTGTTCTGCTGCCTCAGTTGCCACTAGATAAATGATTCGCCCAGCCTTTCATGGCTGTTTATGAACATCATCCAATACAAAGATGAAAATTTCGTAATTTCAGTTTCGAAATTTTTCAAGCTAAAAATCATTTTTCTATTCACCGAACGTTTCTGCTGTATAGCAAGTTTTGCGAAGCTCGGCTTCGCCTGTGTGTTGAAAAATGACGTCTGCCTGTTATTGGAAGTTCTGCTCGCCATCAATTAAAGTAGGACAGTATGAATTGATTTTCTATGTAATAGTGATTTCTTAGAAATTGAATGTTGGTCTGAATGATATTGTTTTCGTCTACTGCAACAAACGAACTTGTTTTTGAAGTCTGAGGAAGGTTCAAATCTGATGATTTTTGAGGCAAACGAGCAAAACATTATTTTCTAAATATGTTGATTTTGAAATTGTGTTGCTCAAATTTATATTGTTATATTTTGGTTGAAGCAGTTTTTCTAAATCCCCGACTAAAATAATATTTGGGAAAAATTGCCTATCTTCTGCCTTAAAATTTCTTGAAAATGAAGTCTTCAATTATCATTTTTTTTGTTATGGCTGAAGACATGTTCTACATTGGAATTATTATTGTCGCATTTACACGTATTTTTGGGTATGAAGATTTGAACAAAGGAAAATCTTTTTTAGTTTAAAATTATTTGGTTCGCATTTCTATTGATGTATTTTTTCTATAAATCTGATAATATTTTCCTAAATAATTGGATAACAATCGGTTTTTCGAATTTTTGTGATCTACTAGTGGAGAGAATCCTTAATTTCGGGCGTGTTGATTTTTCGCTAAACCATCAATAATTTTAAATGGCATACAAGCAGTGATGTCCATTAAAAGAAAACAATTTAAATTAATTTAAATTTTCATTCTAATTTCAATTTATTTAAATGTGAAATTATGAGCCCACTGAATTTAAATGAAAAATTTTTAATTTAACTCGAGCAATTTAAATTGAAAAAAAAAATTAAATTGCTCCGGCAGTATTCGATACGACACCAAAGTACACTCATGTTAACTCATGATTATTAATTTCACATTTCACACTTCCCCTGAAAAAGCAAACAATCCAAAATTTCGCGAAAAAATTTGAATAAGGTTTTTCAAAAGTTATAGAACGAAATAACAAGAAAAACAATTGAATGTTGATTTAGCATCGGAACAGATTTTAGGGAGATGTAGTAAAACCGAAAATGCTTAAGCAGACGCAATAAAAATTGCTAATCATAATAAACATTTTTCGCTCATCAAACAAAGCAATGCCAGGCCACGAAGCACATATAGTATAAGCCGAATAAATAGAAAACAAAATAATACCAAATCGGATATGGTAAGTTGACAACCAAAAAGAAACCCAAGTTTCAAATAGAGCGGGTATTTAAACTGCCGGCATGCTCAATGAAAGTTGATTGGCGAAATTTAGTCACTGATTCTGCTTGACAGAATGTGACATAAAATAAAAACTTATGTTCCCATTTGGTAACGCTTGCTAATCGGAAGCGTAATCATTTCAACTCTAAAAGGTCTGATTGAAATGCACCTAGCAAAATTAAAACAAAGACGTTAAGATGACAATGAAAAAGCTTAAATTTCATTTCAAGAATTTTGGTACCAAATAACAGAAAATCCAACGTGAGAAAAAGTCGCGCATGGCTCCACTCAATAGTAAAAGATGCATTCAATAGTACTTCCATGGATATATTAAAGAGTGAACCCACTAACGTATATGGTCATCTCAGCTGATCATGGACAACTAGTTACGGACTTAACTCTTGCAAGCAACGAGCCCGGATGATTTGGAACCCAGAACCAGCCAATTTCCGAGGTAGCCAATTTCCCATTCCTGTCAATTTTTTCCCTTCTAGGATGTATGAAAATAATTCTTATCCTTATCTTTTTTTCAAGAACTTTAGCTCGAATTTTTTTAACCTAAATATTTGCTCAAATCGGATTGAGATGGAGCGGGTTTGAGAACATACCGCTTAATCGATTCGGCGTCCAATTTTTCAATGGGTTCTCAAAGTCGCTACTATAATTGTAGACTATTGAGCGGTACAGCTCGAAAATACTTGAGTTGCTTCTTGTCCATTTAAAAGAAAAAATGAAATTTGAATTAAAATTGTGCAAAAAAATTATAAAATTGTTGAAACCAATTAACAATTTTCCGAAACAAATTAAATGTTTAAAGCAAATTAAATGTTTATAAAGTCGGTTTTTAAGCAGTGTTGTTTGCCAATTTAGATACTGTTTGCAATTTTGAAAATGGTTTATCTCAAACAAAACTACTTTTATTTAGGTAGTAAATAGGTATAGTCCGTTTCTGGGGTTAATTTTTTTTATCTGGTACTGCTCGTTATTTGCTCATTTTGCAAAACATGAATTTCATTTTGATTTTAGAACTTTTCTACCAAAAATGAAAGTTCTTAAATTTGTCGGTTTTCCAAGTCTGATTTTTAATATTTCCAATTCGGTGAACGGTTTCGGTTTATGTTTTATGACATAATCGGTTTTTATTGCGTAGTTTTGAGGGCAAAACCCCTGTTTGACAAAATTAGATATTATGATATTGTATTTTCCTGCTTTTTATTTTTTGAGACGCTTTGTCAAACTTTTTCACTTTTTGCTAAAGTTATAATTTTTCTCGACAACTTCTTCATTGATTTTCAAAAAATTGGCTACAATGAAAAACCGGCTGTTGTTTTGTATCTCTGCATACTTCCATAGTCTCTTTTAGCCTTACTCCAGCTTCAAAGGCCTTCGAAAATTTAAAAGGCCGTCGAAAATTTAAAACGTGGGAAATGTTTGACTCATTTTCTTGGATTGTCTTGCTTTCCTTTCTCAGAACATGCCGTTCCAAATCTGAGATTGAGATTTCAATGGCAACTACAGATACAGGGATTCTCTTCTACGTCCTAACTTTGATCGAAAAAAATATGGCCTCAAAAAAAATTCTCAAAAACTACCTCTCATGTCTTTAATCAAGGGTTCAGCCGAAAAAGCAAGTCTTGAAAATCCTCCTGGCTTAAACTGCTGCGCTCTAATTTTTGTATAAAATTAGTTTAGTTCTCGGGAAAATCAAATTTGTTTCAGTTTTAATCTTTTTTTTGAAATTTTGTTACTTTTATCGAAAACTACCCTGTCAAATCTGATGTCAAAAGCTTAATCGAAATAAAGGATTTTTACAATCCTCCCTACGTTAATGAATTTATCCTAGTTTTCGTTTACAAAAACTAATCGTCTAGAGAAAGTCAAATTTTTGAAGCTTTTGCCGTTTTGTTGGAAAATCTTGACTGTTCTCAAAAATTAACCTTCCAATTTCAATACATGTAGTTCAATTGGAATAACAGATTTTGGAGTTTTCTGCTGGATAATCTGGTACGCCCTTATTAATGTAGAAAAAGCAAAACCTTTGGATAACTCAAGTTTGTTTATTTTTGGGACCGTGTTTTGAAAATCTGTTGACGCATCTCAAAAACTACCCTGTCAAATGTGAGAGTGAGAATTCAGTCAAAAAAACCGGTTGCGAGAATTTTTGTGCAGAATTTTAATTTTTTTTCGACTCAGCAGCCTTTTGTTTTTGTATCGCAAATGGCGCGAAGCTCAGCTTCACCTCTGTGTCAATTTTGTCGTGAAAACTCAGGTTGTTTGCTTGTTCCATGAATTTCTGAAGTGTGAAATTAGTTAACAGAAGTAAACCGTGTACTTTGGCGTCAAATCGAATCCTGCTTGAACAATTTATTTTTTATCCATTTAAATTGCTCAATAAATTTAAATTTAATTGAAAATTTAAGTTATTTAACAAAGGACGTCAGTTCTTGTCTTAACTAAAATGCAGCAATTTTTTTTTTACTTTTTTGGATCAAAAGATTGATTAAAAGAATAATTCAGCTAGCTTATAGCTTCACTACTGTTGATAAGTTAAGTTGACCGCGAAACGCCCTTCTGTTGTTTTCTGCGCTGATTGTTGCATTTATTTTATTTTTCAAAGCTGCTGCTGGTTTTGTTACAAAAACGTTTAAAAAAGCTGTCTCTACTCTGTGATTTGAAATTACATTGTTGATCAAACTAGTCAAAAAAGTTAACGATCTGATTATGTAACTCTTCATGTTGTGTTAGATGCAAACAAAACGCAGCACTTTCAAACCTTTTCTTTTTATCAAGTATTTTCACATTGTGAAAATTCAATTAAAACATGAAAACTCTGCCATAATTGAAAAGCTCATTTTTGGATACTATTGACCGACTTCTATATTGGTAAGTGCTTCATGTTCTAAGAGTGGTTTTCAGACTAAAACGTGTGCTTTTTCCGCTCTAGCCTTTAATGAATAGAGAAATACGCTGTTTCCATTTTCCACGCCGCGTTTGATTGCGTTTTTTCCTTATTTCAGCTGCCAACATATAGTGGAAAAAGAAGGAAAAAAGAGATCGAGGCGTGTTTTGTGACAGCCGAGCGTCTTCAAGATGAGTTACTCCAAGAGTAAATACGTGGACGATTCCCTGATGGAAGATGTGTTTAACAAGTGAGTGGCCAACATGTACTTAATTGTATTACATAACTATTTGTTTCTCCTAACTGTTACGCAACTAGTTCTGGCATGGTTAAGGTTTTGTGTGTATCTCTTGATTCGCTTGCCATATCAAATAATTACATTTCATTTAATTCGTTTTTTGTAATTTGAAACTGGTTTAAGAATTTTTGATTCCTTTTTTTTTATACGTAGTGTTGTGCATTATAGTGTACAAAAGGGGGATAGTTATCGCTAGTTTTTGTCATTCTTCTTCTGTAGTATAAGGAAGATGATCAGAAATGCTTAAGCTGGAGTGAATTATTCAAACCACCATTCATCATTTCTGTGACAGTTGTTTTTTATCTATTTGATTAATTACAAATAAACATAGACGGAGCGAGTTTCAGTCTTGATTATTTTTTTCCAACCGTTTTCAAAAATGTCTTTTTTAATCCAAGCTTTCGAATAGTTAACTAGTTGGGCATTGCAGAGGTCTTATTTCAGTAGCATTTAACGACCAATCGTAGTTCCTGTGCTTCGCTGACCAACCGTAAATTTGCCCTAAAGGCGGAGCCCATATATGTTAACTCTGAGCGCGCGCCAAAAACTACTCAATTTTTTGGCCCAAACCTTCAAAAATTATCTTGGTTCTTTTTGACATTTCAGGAGAAGTTTTGAATCACCCCTGTAGTTATGATTTTAATTATTTCATGCTTATATCGGTGCTCCAGTGAGATATTCACATGATCAATTTTCGCAGTTGGTTCAATTGCCGAAGATCAGCTGTTTTAATGCTTATCGAAGTTCTTTTAGATTATACTTATCACACTTGAGAAATTGTATGGCCATTTAATAAAAATTTTCTTGTACCAGTTCTATTTTGACTAGCTAATTGCTTGCAAGTTTTCTACGTTATCTAGTTTTTCACCATTCTTTCGACTTTTCTGATCCAATTTTTCCAGTTTTTGTGAAGAATTCTTGGCGTGCCTGCTTAAAAATTGCTCAAAACTTACTGAGTCTTTTGTTTAAAAATAGCATGGTTTCGGATTGCTGATTTTTCCCCCGTTATGAGCCTTTAGTTGATTTTCAACTAAAAAAATAAATTTGTTCTTCTAAATAGAGAGTTTTGTAAATTTTTGGGTTATTCGAATTATTGTTGGATTTTATTGAACTCTTAATTTGTGTGCAAAATGGGTTCACTGTCTGCTGTGTATGGGAACGAGGAGTGTATCTGCCATAGATTGAACAGACTGGGCAAGTATGCATCCAGACAGGAACTGCTGGACGAGATCAGAGACCTCAACTTAGACTTAGAGAGGGAGAAGAAGATGTTGGAGACTTACAGACACCGCTATGAGGCGAAGCAGGGCGAGAGTTTCAGTCTCACTAAGAATCTCGACTCGGTCAAGGAGTACCAGGGTTCGCTTATGAAGGAACACAAGGTAATTGCAAAAGACACCAGGCTAGATTTCAATTGGTCGAAGCACTCCTCAACTACTTGCTAACATGTATTTTCAATTCAATTTTTTTTCGATTATCAGGGGAGTCAATTTAGTTCCTTTTTCGGTGGAGGGGAGCAGAAAACATTTAAACATTTAATTCCAAGGAAAAAGCGCGCACAATAAGCCACAAAAGTCTGTTCAAGCAAAAGAGTGTGTTCTTTTCTTCAGACAAAATCATAAATCGTTAAACTCAATGATTGAATTGAATGAAACTGAGAAAAAGTAAATGAGAGTCGCTTAATGTGTATTTGTTCTCACTCGCTCTCAAGGTCATTCTGTCTGGTCTCGTGTGTTTCTGGTTGACTTGATTAAGTGTCGGTCGGTGTCTGTGGTACTTGTGAACAAGTGTGTCTGTTCAGGAGTTGGAGCAGAAGTACGAGCAGCTGAAGAAGCAGAATGAGCACCAGAAGACAGACATCCAGGTGTTGAAGAAGGAGCTCGACTCCAAGGAACTCAGCTACTTCCTCAACCGCAGGAGATTCATGGACACCTTGCACGTCAGTACAGTCAGTACACACGCACACACACTCCATTTGTTTGCTTACCCCCCCCCCATACATCCCTATAATTCAATCTGACAATTATTTGTTGATGGTTACTGATGTCTATCAAGGAAAAATATACTTACAGACCATAACGCATATGAGAATTTGAACCAGGTCGAATTTTTTATGGCCATTTTTCATCTTGCAGCAGAAAATGAGAATATTTTAGAGTTTTTTAAAGTTTTTTTTGCCCCTGATTTAAATCGGGGCTGTTGTAATTGCGGGGCAAGTATCATTAAGTGGCTCTGCAATCCCAGCCTATGTCAAGTTAATGCGTGGAAAGTAATAAAAGTAATTGCACATATAAGATAGTTATCAAGTTGGAACAGTTGTGTTTTCAGGCTATTCGATGTCTGGTAAGAAACACTTGATCAGTTTCATGTCACACATAATCAAGTTTTTTTTTCATTTTCAAAATAGATGTCATGGTGTCAAGACAATACTTATGACATGACATGACATGGCATGGCAATTATCATGAAATTAACATCACTGCGTAGTTTCAGTTTGATTAGTTTTGCGAGAGCAAGCATCTTCACTTTCTCATAAGCTACATCTCATAATTCAGTCATTTTACCACAAGCAGAAGATTTCTCGGTACAATGAGAATTTATAACTTCATTTGCTCAGATTAAATGGCGCGAATGAACTAGGAGCTGAAAAGCTTAAATGAAATTGAAGTTGACGTTGATTGTTTCTGCCAGGACGACAGGTGGCTGCGTGAGCATGACTTGGAGAGATCGAGTGGGTCCAAGTACAAGTACTGGCACTGGAGGCCCTGGCTGTACAGACACTACAGGGACCTGTATGACAAGTACTATCCCTCCACCTCCTACGATCCCAGCTGGTACTACACCCCCTCTCCATATTCACCCTCCTCCGCCTCCGCCTCCGCCTACGTGTCGTCCCCCTACTACCCCTACTACTCTTCACTCTATAGATACCCCTATTCCTCATACTATAGGTCAGTTCAGTTCCCTCTCGTCTCAGCCGAGCACTTTCTTTCCTCGGTCTATTCAGCCCAATTTGCGATAGTTAGAGCGGGAATATTGAAAAATCAAAATTCTAAAAAAAAGCAACTGCTATGCTGTAAGTTTGTCAAAGTACGAAGCTGTGGTACCGCAACTGCTACTGCCATTGCAGTAACTATGCAGTCCTCATATATATTGGCCTTGATAGTGCTACTTACATCTGCCACTGCTATCGCAGTAATCAGATAGTCATCACATATTGACCTTGATAGTGCTATACATATTGTTATCTATAAATTATATAATTCTATTATAAAAACCAAGGTCAAAGAATACGTGACCTTTTAGAAATCCAAGAGAGTCAATCTCTCAGGCCTGTGGCTAAGAACACAGTCAGTAACAAACTAACAACAGAAAAGAAACGGTTTCATTATGGTTAATTAAACTCTTTCGAAACCACTTCAGTTTTCACTATAAAACCTCAGAGGTATTGTTAGTTACCACATGGCGCAGCCAGCAGGATCCGGTTTCACTGCTCAGGATAATAGGACTGATCTAGGAATCCCAGTATTTTGGGCATCCGCAAATTCAGACCCACCTTGGAGTTTTGAAACGTGGCTTGACCAGTTCCTATTAGCTGTTACAGTTAAAGAGAATGTGGATCCAGAAATAATGTTACAAGAACCTAAACCGGTATTAGAAGAACCTTTACCAACTCCTGAAACACCAGCACAAAACGAGGATGAGATTGCGACAACAGAAAGAGAAGCTCGGAACAGATTGGCTCGAGATAGAGTGGTTCAAGAAAATGAAGAACGGACACTAAGAGGACCTAGAGTGGGACACAATGTATTCTATCACGAAGTGGGCAAACGGCTAACATCGAGATTATTCCTCGCTTTAGGAGCAGAAGGGAAGAAAAAATTTATACAAAAGAACCCTCACACAGAAATATCCAAACTAGGGTTTCGCGATATAATTCGATTAGCAAAACTCTCATTTGAGAAAACGAAATGTATTACCTATGAGAGATACAAACTGTTCACACGATCCCACGAATCAAATGAAACGTTGGAATCTTTTCATGCCGCACTGACTGCACAAGCAGCAAAGGCTGAATTGGGAGCGTTGGAAGAAGAATTGGTACGAGATTTATTCATCTCAAGAATGAAAAATGCTGTCCTCCAAGACACATTGACTTTCGAAACATTCTCTCCAGAAGAAGTGTTAAAACGTGCACTAAAGTTTGAATATAGCAAACAAACAACTCAAGCATTCCAAAAATCTTCAAACACAAACAGCTCAGGACTGTTTACAACTCCACAGATGAAGATTAAACAAGAACCAATTATGGCAATCGGAAACAAAGGGTATAACCCTAGACGTCAAAATCAAAACAGAAGAAAACAGTACGAAAATAAACCTCCAAAAGGTAAAGGAGATCAAAAACAATGTACGAGATGCGGTAGAGCATTTGTAGAGAATCATTTAAAAAATTGTCCGGCAATGGGCAAAACATGTAAAAATTGTAACAAACCTAATCACTTCGCTAAAATGTGTAGGTCTCAACAAATTAACGAAATTGCAAATGAAGATTCGAGCTCGGGGGAAGAGTGCAATCTTATACAAACATTCGATTCATGTGATGATTTTGAAATCATGTCAGTAGAGGAAGAGTGCACTTCCATCATGGACATAGAAAAGTACATCACAAAAAGGATTTCGGAAAATGCGTACAATAACGAAAGAGGTCAGAATAGAGCATTGACGGAGAAGTCGGGTAAAATTGAAAAGATCGAAATTCGCAGAAATCCCAAATCGCATCAAATTAAAGCACTTAAAGCTTTGGTTAAGATTGATAGTCATATTTTGAATATGACTATAGATACTGGCAGTCCAGTATCACTCCTGAATTGGGCAACAACGAAACAGATTCTGGAAGGACCTTCGAATTCAAAATTTATTCCGGCAGAAAAGCTGAACCTGTCTGCGCAGTTTGTGGATTATAATAAACGACCTATTCTAATATTAGGAGCGTTAAAAGCCAATCTACGTTCGGCAGGTTGGGAAGTGTTGGGAGCGATGTTACTGGTCACAGAGAGACGTATGCGGTGCATATTAGGTTTAGATCTTCAGAGTAAACTAGGAATTCAAACCACGCAAAAATCGGCTCCAACACGAAGGTCCAGGTTTGATGTGTTACTGTGCGAACAGTCAGATAGTTGGAAGATTTACTTTTATAAGAAGTTCAAAGATCTATTCGATAGACAAGGGGAATCAAAAAATCACATGGTGAGTACAAAATTTAAATATCCTCTGTGCCCTATTCAAGAGAAAGGTAGGAGAATTCCTATACACATTCAGGATAAAGTTCAAACAGAACTAGACAAGCTGCTCACAGAGGGACACATTGCGAAATTAGACAAATGCACAAGCGATTGTTTTATTGCCCCAATTGTTATCACAGTAAAAAAAGACGATTCTATTAAATTAGCCTTGGACGCCAAACCCATTAATAGACAGTTGTACAAAAATAAATACCAGATGCCTAATGTGGACGAACTGATTGATGAGGTTAGCCAGATCATCACATCAGCATCAGAAGGCTCTCTCTTTTTCACCGTGTTAGACCTGAAATATGCTTATAGCCAGATAAAACTAACTGCTGAAACAGCAAAACAATGCAATTTCAATATAATAGGGGGTAATGCAACGGGTACGTACAGATTTCTGACAGGTTTCTACGGGTTGGCAGATATGCCAGCCGAATTCCAGAAAGCGATGGATAGAACACTAAACCACGCAAAGAATACCTTTTGTTTCTTGGATGATATTCTAATTGTTTCAAAGGGGGAAGCTAAAGAGCACGAGAAATTAGTACACAATGTGTTGCAAAAGTTGGACGACGAAAATCTCGCATTAAAAATTTCGAAATGCGAATTCCTGCAGCCCGCAGTGAACTGGTTAGGTCATAATTTGTCAATACAGGGTATAATTCCAAAAGTTACTAAAACGGAGGCAATTGCAAACCTTCAACCCCCCAAATCATTAAAGCAACTCAGATCGTTCATGGGTAGCATCAACCACTTAGCGAAATTTATCCCAAATGCGGCTAGTTTAACTGAAAAACTTAGACCACTACTGAAAGAAGAAAATGAAAAAAAGAAGATGAAAAATGTCCGGTTACCAGTTAAAAAATTTGAGTGGAACGATCAACACTCAGTAATTTTTGAGGACATAAAAAGGGCAGTTGCTAATATAGCCTTGTTAAACTATTACGATCCAGCAAAGCAATCTAGAGTAAAATGCGATGCAAGTCATAGTGGGCTCGGAGCTACTTTAGAACAATGGTCTCATCAGAGCGATTGGATACCGATCGCATTCGCTTCCCGGTATTTAAATGCTCAAGAAAAAAAATATTCTACCAATGAACTTGAGCTATTAGCAGTAGTTTGGGCGGTAGATCGTTTCAAACATTATCTACTAGGGAGAGAATTTGTCATAGCAACTGACCACAAGGCATTGACATCAGCTTTGGGAGAACATAGATCAAATAAAACGTATCAATCTCGTTTGACTAGGTGGGTTGACCGATTATTGCCCTTCCAATTTAAAATTACTCATATTCCCGGAAGGGATATGGGTATCGTTGACTACTTGTCAAGAGAACCTAATGGAGAACCGTGGCCAGAATCGGAACTGGATGAGAGATTCGTAGTAACGTCTATAGAAAGTTTCCATAAAGCACTCGACTGTTTAAACAGTCGGTCTAGTGAAACAAACCAAAGTAGCACTATGAACATTCCAGAACATTCTAGAACATCAAGAGAAATTAACTACTGTAAAGACAGCTCATCACGCGGTTGCTATGACAACCAGTTTGTTCAAAACCGGACAAAGCTCGACCGGAACGAGAACGGTCAAAACTCAAGTTTTCAAACAGTTGAGAAGCACAAAAACACATTGGACAGAATAGCTCGTGAGAAACAGTTGGTCGATATTTCAAAACTCAAAAATAAATTAAACTCCAAACAATTAGAACCTAAGGAAACGGCGTCATCGAAAAAAATGGAAAGAAGTGAAACAGGAAAATCAAAGAAGATGAAAAATAAACAGAACGGAAATCAGAGGGAGGACGATCAACTAACGGAACAAGTAACAGAAACCACCTTCTCTCGAACACGGATGGTAAAGAGAGGTGCTGCATGCAGTCGACAGGAGTCAGAGGATTCTGATTCAGATATACCGCAAGTTGAGTGGAGACCAGTGAGAAAGACGATAAAGCCTAGAGGACTTAAAGAAATACAATCTGGAAAGGCATCTGGAACTAGTGGAACAACCCTGATGTCATTTTGGGACCTCATAGGGGCAGAAAGACCAGACAATCCAAAAAGTCTACTTGAATTAGAGGCACAGACAAGTCTACTTGAATTAGAGGCACAGACAGCCTTGGCAGATTGTAATCGAGGTGACCAGTCATCACAATTGAATACCCAAAGTGAAATCCCCCAAATTATTGAAGTGGACTTAACAGCCGAGAGCCCTTCGGAAAGCCCAGAAGTCAGCTTAATTAAAAAGGAAAAGACATGTCACGCTTCCAGGAAAGGCATACCAGATCAAAATAACGTGCGTACTGATATCAGTCTGGACAACCTAAACAAACTATTTGATAGAAGCCTATTAGCGGAGCTGATATCAGAAGACGCCTGGATGGACAGGCTGCGGCGGGTTATTGAGAGGAACTATCGACACAGCTTCGAGCTGATGGGTCCATATACCAACCCTCTCTGGCACCAACTCTCAGTTGTGGACGACTGCATCCTGGTTGACAACAGATTAGCTGTCCCGGAACAATTGCGTTTGGCAGTCCTAAAGAGAATTCACCGCGGTCACCCAGGCCAGGAAGCGATGCTAGATGTGTCAAGGTACCTGTGGTGGCCGCACATGCACAAGGATATCGTCAACCTTGCAGAGGAATGCAGAAGTTGCACCCGCTATGGTAAGAATGCAAAATACATCATACCAAAAAATGCTACGAAGCCTCTGCCGCTGCTCACGCAGCCAGGTCAAGAAATTCAATTAGACTATGCTGGCCCGCTTGAAGATTTCAAAGGAAAAAAGATTTATCTGTTGGTAGCAATAGATAGGTATTCTAAATTTCCTTCAGTAAAAATCACTAAATCAACAGGGGGAAAGTCGTCAATAAAATTTCTTCGCTCATATATTGATATACATGGAATACCTGAATCAATTAGAACGGATCAATTTTCCGGGTTCAAGGGCAAAGCAATGAAAAAATTTTGCTCCGACAATAACATTGAACAAAAATTTTGTCCAGTTGGCGACCATCGCGGATGCGGCTTAGTAGAACGCACTATACAAACCATCAAGAGAAGGTTGGGAGTAATGTTACTCGATGAAAATGTAACGTCGATAAAATTGTGCTTGAGTACGATAATTCGCGACCTTCGTTGGATAAAACAGAAGACAATTCAAATGTCGCCATTTGAAGCGCACTTTGGGCGATTGCCAAAAACAGAATTTAAAATTCTCAGTGATAGGTTCTTACAAAACTCTGATCGTTTAGATAAGGAACATCTGGAGCGCTCCGCCTTGACGGCTTCGCAACTCAAAAAGAGAATCGACCAATCTCGTGACAACTTAAAGATTGTCCGGAAGGGACAAAACAGCCGAGATGTGAGTCCATTATTCAAAGAGCAAGTCGTCTCGGCAAAGGACCGAGAAAGAGCGCGGGCCCTAAAAGAGCTTCTGGAGGCCAATGCAAGATGGAACCAGACTCGACGTGATACTTCGGCAAACGACCTAAAGCGTACTGTGGATGAGACGAGTACCATTAATCCCGAGCTACGCAAAGAAATGCTATACTCGTGGGAGCGGGGGTTCGTTGAAGATAAACCGGAGGCCATTTCTCAGCAACGTCAGTCGTCACCAATCCTGATACGAAAAGACGAGGGGAGGAAGAGCGGTAAGGCCCTCACGAAACCTCTAAAGGGAAGGGTCGTGGCCGAAACGCCTTCCACAATTAAGACGGCTGCAGGGTCCATTTACCGGAAAAGCGATATTGCAAAGGTTAAGGTTGCGGTGCATGATAAGGAGAAAAACAACAATAGACGATCCCCATCGGGAGAAGAGCCTAAGAAAAAACAACAGAGGCAATCGAGGCGACAATCAGACGAACAAGATGAGGCTGAATTGAGTCAGTCGGATGAAGACTTATTGCTAGAGCAGCCAGGTGCAGCGAAGGAAAAATTTCAGGATAGCCCAACGGTGATCACTTCAAAAGACACCCTACAAGGCGGTGGACTGAATTTGGCGGTACGAAGAGCGAAGCCAAACTTGGCTGGACCATTCTCGAAATCAAATAAGGCTAAAGTGAGCCCAATCTCGACGAAAGACGCACAACAAGTCATATTACAGAATAAAAATGCTGCGTCAGCAGCAGAAGTAATCGAACCGAAGGCGCCAGACCACGCATGTTCGTCGAACACTATCAAGAACAAGAAAGAAATTACACGCACTACATCTCCTGAAACAATCCTCGACACTTTCAATAGTAAGGATTTATCGGCGAATGACTGGAATCGATTAGCGGATCAAGTACTTGAACGAGGAGTTCAGCGCGCGGCGGCAGAGATACTGCATTCGAGAGAGGATGCGAGAGACGACGAGGAATTGATGAATCCTCCGGGGTTTTCTGACGAATCCGAACTTGAGGAAACATCAGTACGGAAAAGCGGGAGATCGAAAAAGGGACCATCCAGATACGGAAACCCGATTAAGCATTCAGTGAAATCAATCTCGTTCCAGAATAACTTATTGGACTTGAACCAAGCCGCGCTCGAAGCATATAGAATCAAGCTTGCAAATTTTAAACCTGGTGCTTCTAATTCGGTGGAGACAAAATTTGGTCTGCTGGAAAAACATCTATTTAGGAGAAAGTTTGGCAGCGAAGCTCTAGACATAACCCGTTCATGGAACGCCGAGTGGAGAATCCCGTTACAGTTGGAAGAGGAACATGAAGAGAGAGATGGAAAATGAGTTATCTAATACACAAAGCCAAAACTTCTTAAACTGAGTTCTAAAACTCCTATTCATTATTATTTAAAATTTTAATAACATAGTATAAAAATTTTCTTGATCGAGGGGGTATGTGGTACCGCAACTGCTACTGCCATTGCAGTAACTATGCAGTCCTCATATATATTGGCCTTGATAGTGCTACTTACATCTGCCACTGCTATCGCAGTAATCAGATAGTCATCACATATTGACCTTGATAGTGCTATACATATTGTTATCTATAAATTATATAATTCTATTATAAAAACCAAGGTCAAAGAATACGTGACCTTTTAGAAATCCAAGAGAGTCAATCTCTCAGGCCTGTGGCTAAGAACACAGTCAGTAACAAACTAACAACAGAAAAGAAACGGTTTCATTATGGTTAATTAAACTCTTTCGAAACCACTTCAGTTTTCACTATAAAACCTCAGAGGTATTGTTAGTTACCACAGAAGCAAAACAAATTTTGAAATGGAAACAGTAAAAAATGTTGACTGTTTTTAAAGGAACGGGGTTTTAATATCAGAAAAATACCAGATTAGGCACATATTGAAGCGTTATTGAAGCCTTATAGCTTTTTATTTGTTATTAACTAGAACCCGCTTCGTATGATTGATAACGAGACGTTTCGCTCAACTCATTTGACAAAAATTGACCACATTTCTCAATTTGTAAGCAGCAAGTACTCCTGGCCATACTATTCGAGCTACCTGGCTGGCAGTGGCTACTACTCTGGCCTGGACACCACCGCAACCAGTGGTGACTGGACTCTTAGAAGGAAGTGGGACCTGGAAGACAAAATGAGTTCCATCCAAAGGATGACTGATGACCTGAAACTGAACAACTATCGCATGCTCAAAGACCTCAAGAGTGTCAAGTCCGCCATTGACCTCTAATAGAGGGGGGGGGGGGCAGAACTCACCATGGACCCTGCGGTTACAGGAATACGAACTGAATGAAAGTTGAAACAGAGTTCTTTTCCACGGATTGTTTTCAGGAATTTATCAATTTTAGAGCTTGTATTCGGAAGTTTTTAAAGTGTACTAGAAAATTCCCTTATTTGAGGTTTTCCCTAATCTGATTATGGAATTTATGATAAAGCGTTAAGTGTCAGCCTTGGTTTTGGTTAAGCTTAGCGAGAATTTTTACAAATAATGATCTAAAAGTTATCTGACGCTTGAAGTTATACTTACATGTAATTGGAAAAGAATTCTACAAAGAAAATTTATAATAGCTTCATTTACTCTGTAAAAAAATGCCAATTTATTACTCCATTTGATATTGTTTGCTCAATTTGTAAATAACCGAATAATTTGTTAATTTTCAAATTCGACATACTATCTTTGCAATTTTTGATACTCCAAAAAAGTGAATGTTATTTATAGCTCAATCTGGAGCGACGAAATTATGCACGACAATTTGAAAGATTAACCAGCAAAGACGGGTAGATATTGGGACTTGGCGGTCCTGTTATGACTAAGTAACCTAGGAATGACCTTTTCAATGACGTGGTTGGCACAACAGCATTTAATTTTTCGGACGTCCAGAAAACCCACATTTTTGAAGTAAAATAAGGCACTTTTTTTCTCCAAACAAACAACGCTTGAAATTGTAGTGGCCCTACTGTATCATTAATATTGTAGATTCTTTTTCCGGGGAGTCGTCTCCTCTAAGCACGCTTTCACTCTACTTAACGGCCGCAGAGTTTCTCTACTTTATACCGTGTAATAACGGGGGACACCAAGACACGATATGATCCACAATCGCGAAACGGTTATGTTGGTGGTTAGACTAAATCGGCCGATCAAGGGATTACCCATTTTCCCCCCTTTATTGCTGCTCTTTTCGGCTCTCCTTTTACGCTTCTAGCTAGTTCAGCAAATCGTGGACACAATGTGTAAATTCTCAATCGCAAAGAAAATAAAACAATTTACAGTGCCCTTAATGAGCTAACTATTCTATAGCAACTTCTATAACGCAGCCAGCGTCCCGTTCCCTTCAATCGCTCATCAGTTTTCGGTTGTCTAGAGTCAAAACTCGCCTACTCTAGCAGAGCAGTGAAACAACTAGTTCAACCCGGTACTAAACTCGGGTTGCAGCGCAACTCGCTCACTAGCAATAGTTGTTCTCTTCTCTGATTGAGAACCAACTACTCTTAATAGTAGCCAACAACTTTTCTGACTCTTAAAGGCTCTCCGGTACCCTCCAATTCCTTATCTTTCTTTAAACTTAGTTTTACTTAAGTCACGCCATTCCCTATCAGTCCTGACATCCGCCTAAATCACCCATCCGCACATGTTTTAAGACTATATCCCTCCTCTTGTCAACTCTGGCACGTGCAAACTTTGATTTCTTTTATCAATCTTTTCCCACTTAATAGATACCCGGCATGCGGTAGCTGTCTCAATTTGACCAAGCAATCAAATATCATACGAGTCTAATCAATCAATTCCTGAACTCTGTGAACTTCAGCTCTTGAGTTCAACTCAACCTCCAAACCATGCTATGTCTACTCATTAATTCTCCCATGGTCTTTATTTTAATTACCCCGTTAACGGTCCGACCTCCCAAGAATAGGGAGAGACCCTTTTCATTGGTAGCTAATTCATTCCAAGCATATCTACCTGTACTCTATTCCAATCCCGACTTTCTAGCTATCAAAGGAACGTAATTCGTCTTTTAGGGGTCAAATCAAACCAGAAAGTCACCACCGGGAAGCCAAGTAAAATCCCCGTCCACTCATACTATTTAGGAAACTTAAATCTCATACCGCGGTCCTTTTACTATCAGATTGCTCTGGGACTACTTTTCTTTAGTCTAATTGAATTGCTATTAAAAGATCATTCGCCAAGCTAAACTGAACCCAATGTTTACCAAGTCCATTTTGAATTAAATCCACTACTCCAAGGTTGCAATGTAAGACTGTATCTCTATCGGTTTCTGCTCTAATTCCCAATATATAAGTTTTGCTCTCAATTTTTAGCAAGGTGACCCATTCTCATTTCTAGGGGTTGGGCTGGGAAATACGCCACTTTCCGGTGTTAATCTCGGGGCTTTCCATGCAATTTTTGGGTCAAAACGCCCAAAGGTCAACTTAAGGTCAAACTTCCGGGGTAAAATCTCCAAATTTGGGTTCAAGATCCCATGGGGGTCCTAACTATCAAGTTCCATTCATATCCCATTATTACTTCACAAGTTATCCCATTTCTTAGGTCCAGTATCACTTTTTTCGGAAAAAGGCTATTAACACCGGAAGGAGTCGCCGGAGGGTTTTCACTCAACAGGCAGGGGTCTTTTTTCGAGGTCCGTATCTTATGTCCATTGCCGCAATAAAATACTTATGCCACCGTTCATCGTTTCGCGTAAATTGCCTATTTCCGGTCTAAGGGGGCGTTTTTCCAAGTTCTAAGAGCTTCCGGAGCAACTGCCGGATTTGATTCAAATTATAATACAAGGTGTATCTTGCCACTACCTATCATCCCTCCAAATTTCAGCTCCCTGCGCTCATCGGTGGCCGAGAAACGTCTTCCGGAAGTTAGGGGTGGGTTTGTTTACTTATGGCATAAAACTGGAAGCGGGGGTCTGGGTTTCCAGCCTTAAGCTTCCTTAACTAGGCCTACAACATACTAGAATTTGAGCCCAACACCGCCGCTAGTTTCCGAGTTCTGATAGGGCCATTTACACTTCCGGGGACCGTTATCACTTGCCCCCCAAGGGTCTGAGGGGTCCCGTTTTTTGTATGCCCGGCTCAAATCATCTCTAGTATCGCTCCTCTGATTTTCATAACATAAGCTTTCTTAGTTCCGATTTTGGGGGGGGGGGGGGTTCGCCGATTTTGTCAAATTTTGTTTTCTGGCATAGGAGGGACGATATCTTCGAAGATTGAACTATTTCGAACTTTACCCTTTGTTTGCTGTACTTCTTAACTTAATGTCGAACCAATCTTACGCTCAGGTTACTATAGCATGTAAGACAGTAAAATCGCCAATTCTACAAATATATTCAAATCCTGCTGTTCAATTTTGTGTAATTGAGGATGAAGGTAAAAAAGCTAACAAAAGAAAACAAAAAAGTTGAACCAATTAATAATTTAACACCGATATAACTTTCCAAAAAATTGAACAAATAACAACCTGTTGGCACTTCTACCTTCGAGAAAAAAATATCACTCAAATTTTACGTGCTATCATGACCGTGTGAATTGAACAAAAAGGAAATTAAATCGATAACCGGCTGGATTTTTTGTTTTGGTAAGACCGAACAATTGGACATCATTTGGTTTCATGCGGCGATGAATTTAACATAAAAAAGCTGCAAGCACTGAAAAAAGTTGGGCTCTCATCATTGCTGCTCATGCAAGCGTAATGTAAGGCAGGAATTCATTCAACTTTTGCCAACTAAGTATACCAAGTTTAGTACCAAAACATTCGAGAAGTTTAAGGGCAATTTCACTACACAGCACATGATCTATTTACAGTTTCAATGAAGTGTTCTCCTTCCTGCCTGATTACAAAAAAAAACTTATACATGAGTGGAGTGCAACGCAAAGTGCTGCGACAAAGTAGCGTCAAGACCACCCTGTACTTCAGGAGGACGGAATTCGAACCCCGTATTAAAGTTAGTTATATTTTGAAGTTTGTTTTGCGTTAATTAAGTGAATAACTTGTTAACTTTCGAAATCGAAATAACTTTCAAAATTTTCGAAATCTTACTTTTCAAGTTTGGTTACTCAAAAAAACGTGAGTGAATCACATTTGCAAAAAAAAACTGGAACGACGACAAAAAAGAAATAGAAAAAAAATGAAATATTAGCCAGCAGTCGAATAGATATAAGGACTTGGCGATCTTCTTCTGACCAAATAGCCTAGGAATGATTTGTATCAAACAAAAAAATCACGAACAAAAAAATTTCAAAAATGAAAATCAAATGTAAGAGGGAAGTGCAAAAACTAATGTTTTGAAAAAATGCAAACGTTAAAAAAATCATTTTTGAAATATTTATGCTATCGCTTTAATCTGCTTACAATAGGTAAATTCACAATAGTTAAGTTCACAATGGTTAACTTGTTCACCATCCAAAGTTTCTGCTCACGCCTTAATCTGTTAACAATACTTAAGCTGTTTACCATTCAAAACTTCATTTCGCTATGAACACGTTATTAACGTTTTTCAAAAATGAAAATCAATCGTGACGGGGAATATAAATAAACAAAGGATTTGAGCGAAAGATTTGCAAATGTAAGCAAAAAAATCAAATCGATTTGCCTTAATGCACATTGGAATGATTTATTTGTTTTTATCTGTTTGTCAAAACAATTAAGTTGATCACCTTTGAAAAATATTTATAGTGTGATCATAACGAAGTGGAATTTTGAAAAGTGAACAGCCAAAATATTGTTAAATGTTGTGATCAGAAAACGGCGTCAACAGAAATTTTAAAAATCGAAAATCAAACGTGAGGGGCAAAGTGTAAAAAAAACCAAGGAATTAAACAAAAAATTCGTGATTGTAAACAGGTTTGCCCACTCTAGGTTTGCCTCAACTAGGTTTGCCTCAATGCAGTTTTGAAGGATTTATTCAATGGTATTTTTCTGTTTATAATTGTTAAGTTCACAATAGTTAAGTTCACAAAGTTAAGTTGTTCACCATTAAAAGTTTCTGTTCACGTCGTATTCTGTTCACAATATATAACAATACTTAAGCTATTCACCATTCCAAATTTCATTTGTTATGATCACGTTATAAAAGTTTTTCAAAAATGAAATGAAAATGGGGGTAATGGATTTAAGTCAAAAACATGAAGAATTGCAAAGTTAAAAAAAAACTGAATAGGTTTGCCTCAATTCAAGTTAAAAATTTTTTTAGCCCGCTTTTTTTATAGCACCAAATGTAGTGTGATTATAGCTCATTATAGGCAACTTGGCAATGATCAAGCCATTTATTCTTAAAAAAATGGTCGTGTAAAAAACATCGTCGTGCTTTTTATACCATGATTCATGACAGATAGCAAATATAGTCAAAGTTGCTAGTTAACAAGTCAAAGTTTTTATGGAGAAAAAAAACAATGCAAGGACGACTATTCCGTAATGTGTTTGAATGTCGGAATTTTAATAACCATCAGTTTAAAAATAAACATTTTCAGCACGAATGTGCTGAATTACAAAAGAGTGGAAAATAAAAAAGCATTCAACACTGCCAAAATATGATTTTACGACGACTAAAGAAAATTTATTATGCTTTCAAAAACTAATTCGCTAGCATGCTAGAGTTTGTAATTTTGTGAGATTGCTTCTGACAGTAAAAAAAAAACAAGTTACTCTCTTCACTACGGGTCCTACGCTTTCACAAGTGAGCATTCAACAAAACTTTTTCCCGATTTAATTTTTGAAGTTCGAGCAAACCCGAAGTGAAACTTGTGAAAATGATGTGTCGAATCATTCCTCTTCTTTTGACTTTTTGAATTACTTTAGTTACCATGTTTTGTTTCCAACTTTATGTTTCAATCAGAACTTACAAAGTTCGCACGTTTACAAATGAAAAGTCACGAATGACTCGAGTAATCATTATTAAGAAATGTTATGGTCATTAACAATAACCTGTTAAAAAATAAATTTTGCATCTTCGACAGTCTTGAACGGTCCCGATAAAACAGCCCAAAAGCCCATGAAAAAGCCCAAAAGACATATTTTGTTTTCTAAAAGTGTATTGCTGTCTCTATTTTTGCGTTGGCAAAGAACCGAGTTTTGAGTCAAAACACTTGTATAAAAACGGCTCAATTGCCAGAAAAACGTTTCACTTATCTTTAATTTGAACATAATTTTATGTTTTTAGATATATTACATACTCAATTTTTTGCTGCTGATTTTGTAAATTACTGAAGTTCGCTTGACGTAATAATACGGTTTACATACAAACAAAAGCAATTCAAATGTCTTTAATTTGACCATAAATACACAATGATTTTTTCTGTAATTAAATTCGCATTTTTTTGCTGCTGGTAATGCCAAAACAGTCATAAGAATTATTATTTTTTGGTCTCTTCCTGCTGCTGCCTAAAGGTATGTTTCTGCTGGTCAGATTTCAAAGGATTCTATGGTTACTAATGACTCAAACTCGGGACTCTAAGTATAATTTGAAAAAATGTCAGTGTTGTGCAATCAAATCTAATAGTTCTTATGACGCACTTAGTATCAAAACACAAGATTTTAAAGAGTATGCGCTCCAGAAAAATATCAAGCTGGGTACATAAATTCAAAAAGAGCGGTTTGCGCAGATATAAAATTATCCTTATAGTGACATTTTGCGATTTATTTGAGCCCTGAAGTTCATGTTAAATGAGAAAAAAAAGAGTCAGGCTTGACAAGCCTTATAACTTTGTTCTATCCAGATTTGTTTGTATGAATTTCATATTGGAATAGCATTGATTTGCGGAAAATTACCTCTGATAAAAAGTAAGGTTGAGGTATTTAGGTATGAACAATCTTCTTTGTACATTAACTAAGGATTAAAAGAAAATGAATAATTTTGTGATAATGAAAATGACTGTTCTAAAAACTAACAAAATCAGTGAAGTGATCGACAATGGTCGGTTTAAAGCATATTTAGTAGATGACTAAACAATACCGAAGGTCATTAATTTGAGCAAAATGAACAACTCACAACATTCCCCAACGGGAAAAAAAAACTAAAATTTACAATTAAACTAAAATTAAATTCTATATGCACGCATTTCTCCCTTCAAAGTAGTGTTGACAAATTTTACAACCTGCAAAAAAAATGAAAACAAGTCCGTTGGTGCCCAACATAGGAAGCCTGGAGGTGTCAATTTGCCCGCATTTTCGTCTCGAGTCCTGCTGGTTTTTGTTCTCCCATACTGTCTTTTTCCTCCACGTTGTAAACGTATCTACGCTCTCCGTAGAATTCTCATCGGTGTCTGTGACTGGAATTTTGCTGTCACCTGTAAAACTCAATTCAATGTTATGATCCGTGACATTGTCTCGTGAATTATCGGGGCGTTGTTATTGGAGACAGCCTCGAAGTAATCAACAAGCAAATCGTTTCATGAAATTAGATTTAACGAAGAAGACGAGGAAGAGGAACCTGAGTTATTCTGCAGCGATTCCAGGATGATCACAATCTCCGATGGAAATTGAGTGTTGCCAAGCGTCAACATCGGATTGCCTGAATCCTTTATCTTCTTGAGGGTGGGAGTCCAGGTGGCCTTCTTTTGAGACGACATTTTTCTTTTTCCGGCTAAACATGGCATGTTTTCAAAATTGGTACCCGGGGGTGGTGGTTTAAGAAAAGTGTTTAAAGGACCCGGGAGTATTTTCCCTCTTATCGATAAATCCGACTTTCGTAAAATGTGTCCATTTTCAAGTGTAACCGTATGTTCCGAAGAGTCGATGATTGCTTTCTTGACGGGATTAAAGTAAGGGTCTCCATTTTTTTATTGTCGTTTTTTCTAAAAAGATTACCTCCAGAAGTTAATTTTGATTGCGTCGATCGTTTTTGTTCTGCAGCTGGGATCGGGTTTCCACGGTTTCCTGAGGAGATCCTGGCCAATGGGAGGTTTGCCTCTGAGTCGGATCAATTTCCATGCACGCATCTGCATATTCATCCTCTGCCTCATCATGGAGCTCCCAGTTTCTCGCCCGATGATCTGACAAGATCGATTATTTTTGATCTAAGCGATCATTAAGTGAAATCAGCTTTTTCCACCTAGTTTTAGCGGCACCAGTGGATTTAGGGGGATTCAGAAACTCAGGAATTCGGCAACCTGCCGACACAAAGGAGAGTCCCACTCGTGTACTATTTCGAGATATCGTTTTCTGGTGGAAGAACCTAAAAATTTTCATAATGCGCATCGACGACCATATATACTTATTTTGAGGGGGAAGCGCGCGCTGAAAAAACGGCAACTTTTTGTTCAATACTTTTTAAAAAAAGCCTAAAACGCGTTTTTGGCCTCTTTTTTGAAAAATTTGCTTGCAGTGCCGAAAATTGGTCAAAGTGGGGTCTTTATAGTTATTTAGGAGAGCTCAGAAAAACAATTTGGATGACCTAAGAAAAACATCAAAAAATATATCTATTTTTTTTTTTGAAAATTGGCCCTGCCCCATAAAATAATCCCATATCCGTCCCTGATTAGCGGTAAAGTTGAAAATAAATTTTTCGAAAACGGTACTTCCGATGGATGGTTGTTTGGTAATTCGCAAGCTCCAAATAATTTTTTCAATTGACGAACTTATTATCAATTTGGTTTATATATGCGACATAGCAAGAAGTTTCAATTTGACAGTACACAATATGAAAGTCTTTCTACAAGTCCATTCGATCTATGATCTCCCCTTGTACAGAAAAAAAACATTTCGATTTTGAAATTTTTGCAATTAAAGTTAAAATCTTGAGATAAGTAGCATGATTAGTTGTTGACTCTGATTTTTCTTGGGAAACCATGAAATTGGCAATAATCGTTTAAGAATGAATTGACCGAATTTGAAGAGGTTTTTGGTGGAAATTTGGTAGAGCAATCGATGCACAGAAGAATGTATTTCTTTGTTCCACAAAAAGCGTCTCATGGTCTAGCGAAGTCTAGATTTATCTCTTCATCGGCAAATAACCAGTCCGGAAATTTGCACGTGTGGTCCGGTCCCAACAACACTTTTACGTTTTTACCGGCCTTCACGCACTGCCTGCAAGACTTGACATGGTGGTAGATCTCTCTGTAGATTTTAGGCCACCAAATGTATTCAGCCAGGAATTTCATTCCAAACTGGCGAGGATGGGATTCGCGGAGCATTGAATTAAAGGCTCCTCGGATTGCAGCTTGGACCATCAACTTTTTGTCCAGGAAAAGAAAATTGTCACTTGTATGCAAAATTATCTCGAAATTTTGTATGTACGATCCATGCATTCCCATTGGTCGGCCATTCTTGAGTGTCGTTATCAAGTCCCATAAAACTTCATCGTCCGTGGTCATGATTTGAAAAAATTTCTTTGAAAATTGGTTTTCAGGTATTAACGGTGATGTTGGTCATGTCAAATTTGCTGTTTTATGTTTTAGTAAGGCCGCGTGTTCGCTGCTAAGTGACTCGTCTTTGAATATGATAGCTGTAGTATGTTCTTCCCGGACAATGACCAGGGGTTCAGAAAAGTTATAAAATCGAAGTACCCACGGTTTTCATTTGTTATTTGCGGGGTAAAAATGTCGTTCAGCATAATGAAATGAAATGAGGCCTTGTCCATAAATGAGATGCTTTTGATAAAAAAATTTGAGTTATCCAGAGGTAGACAATTAGATGAGAACTTTTTAAATCTAACGTGGTAATCATTGCGAATTTTGAGTAAATGTGTATTACTCGAAAAATAAGCGGCAATAATTCTGAGTTTCAAAGAAGCTTACGAGCTATCGATAAGATTTTGAACAATCAAGTTGCTCGAATTATTCGTCCCCGACGGAAAATTAGTATTTTTATACAGGACTGAAATTGAATGAATTCGATAAAATAATATGAACTTTGGCAATTGATGCCGACACGATTTCCTCGCCATAGTGGAAGGGAAATAAGGCTTCGCCTGAAGTTAATCTTGATAATAGGTCTGTGAATCCCATATCTTTATCCGGAAGGCGAGAAAATTTGAATTTGAATGGTAAATGTATGTTTACCTATCGGGTTAATCTTCTGTGCATCGTCTTGTTACTAGGATACGCCGAAAACGCTGATAGTAGAGCCCTGTGATCCGTAACATTTTCTAATTCTGAGCTATAAAAATAATTTTTAAAGTGATCAGATGCCCAAACAATTCATAAACGTTCCAGTTTGTTGGTTGAGTATTTCAAATGCAAAAGAATGACTGTTTGTCCCAATGGTACACAGTTTTTTTGTTGAGCAGAGGCCGTAACGGGGAACTAAAGAGGGAAAGGTTCGGGAAAAATTTAACCAAAGAATGAGCGAATTTTAGAAATTTTTTTCGGTATTGGGAGGTTTTTTATTGCATCGGCCTTTCCTACCCAATTTCTTACTCCAGCTTCTAAAAGTCTAGAGCCTAGCCGTTTTATTTCCTCATGAAAAATGCGCTTTTCCCCATTTCACTCCTATATTGTTTTTGTCTAAAGTTTTAGGTTTTCTGGGCACTATAGTTTTATGTACTTCTACTGTTCCCTTTGAAGTCACTAGTATATCGTCTATATAACAGTTTTTGAATGGGATTCTTTTTAAAAGTGAGTCCATGACTCCTTGAGTTTCATTGGGCATATCGCCCAATCCATAAACTCCTGTTACCGTGGGGTCTCCTACTATACTAAAATCGCTTTGCTTACTAAATTTTTCACGTAAATTGAAAAATTTACGTGGTTATAAGCTTTCTTAAAGCCAAAATTACTAAGCCAGACCTGCCCGTCGTTCTTTTCCGACATCTGAAGTGCGACGTTTTTGATCAATTCGTGGATGTTGGGCACCTGGTATTTTTTTGAAAATCTGGTTATTGAGTAATTTTGAGTCTAAGGCAAGTTTATTTGAGACGTCTTTCTTTCTATTTATGACAATTGGGCTTATGAAAACATTCAGGAAAGGTCAGAACAGCCGGGACGTAAGCCCACTGTTTCAACGGAATAGATTCGCTGCCAAAGAACAGCACGGGCGAAAGAACTGAAACAATTATTAGAGGCAAATGCAAGATGGAACGCAACACGAAGAGATACGTCAGCCAACGATTTGAGAAAAATAGTTGATGAGACTAGTACTATAAATCCGGAGCTCAGAAAGGAGTGATTGTATTCATGGGAGAAAGGATTTATAGAGGACAAAGAGAACAACGACACTGGACCCATGTCAGACAATTTTTTTTCGAAAACACGAACAGAGAAAGAGTGGAAAGGCCCTGACATTCCCGCTAAAAGGCAAAATAATAGCCGAAATACCATCGACCGTGAAAACAGCTGCAGGTGCAGTATACAGGAAAAGTGACATAGTCAAGTCGAAAGTATCTTTAGCACCTACAAGAAAAGGATCCGATCAGAAAAGGAGCCCAACGGGGGAGAAATTGAGAATTAAGCAGCAGAAAAAAGCAAAAGAAGAGGAAGAGATGGAGAGTGAGTCAGATGACGAGGACGATAACCCAGATCAGTGGCAGTACAGTACGGTTCCAAATGAAAACAGCACTACTAAAGCTTAATTTCAGGGTAGCCCAACGATAGTAACCTCAAGGGACACAGAGGCGGGGGGTGGCCTGAATTTGGAACACGGAACCCAAAGATAAAAAAGACGACGATAAAGATACACCAATCTCGTCGACTCCAAAAAAGACCACGGAAGGTACTAAACGCATCACTAGGCAAACAAATGAAAAGGAAACCTTGATACGTTCCAGAATAAAGATATGACACCGGGAGAATGGGATGAATTAGCTGAACAAGTTTTGACTAGAGGTGTCCAGAAAGAAGCGGAACAAATCCTTACAGCAAAGGAAGATACGATCGTCGAGTTTCCTCCACCAGGTTTCTCAGATATCTCGGATCAGGAGGAAGAACAAACGACAGTGAGGCGAACTAGCCGACAAACAAAAAATCAGGGGCCAAAGCGACACGGAAGCCCAGTGTCACATTCAGTATAGCTGACTTGTTGTGAAGACGATATTACTGACTTGAAAATGGCAGCCCTCGACGCATATCGGACGCGATTGGCGAAGTTCGACACGGATAAAGGAACACCGGCGGATTCAAAGTTTAGATTATTGGAACGTCACTTGTTTAAACGAAGATTCGGTCAAACGTCGCTGGATATTTCCAAACCATGGAATGCCGCGCGGAAATTGCCGTTGCAGTGCTTCTTAGAAAAGAAACAAAAAAGGGGAAAATTGAGCAATCCTAAAAACAATAGACATTAAACTGAGCCTAAAATTCATATTGTATTTAAAATTTTATATGGTATTATATAAAATTTTGCTGTATTCGGGGGAATGTGGTACTGTGTAGTACTGCTGCCACAGTAACCTTGAAAAGTTAGACTATTTTTATTTGTTATGTATTGTTATTGTGTACTCATTCTAGCAGGCCTACTTTAACGGTCACTTGAGTGTTGTTCATAACTGGCAGAGAGTGAGCAACTAAGACTAACAGCAATGAGTCTAAATTTAAAGATATAAATCTTTCTGTTTTCACTTCCTTATTAAGGACAAAGTATCAGTTATTACAGCATAGTTGGCAGGTATCTAATCAACGCCGAAGTTCATAAGATTAAACAAAATGAACAATTTACAACAACCTCAACGTATTAAAATCAACCACATTTTTGCATCTATACGACGACATTGAACAGCAATATGAAGAACTTTTATCTGTCAAAACTTTGATAGAAACATTATGATAAAAAAATTGAGTTAGAATTATTATTACTACGACGAGGTTCATCAACAGGCTCCCAGTCCTTTCCGCCCCAAAATTACATTACTTCCGCTCCAGTTATTTCCGCCCCAAAAACAGTCAGTTTTGGGGCGGAAGTGTCTGGGGCGGAAATGACTGAGGCGGGATTGTCTGGTCACGCATCAACATTAAGAACCATCAATTAAATCACTGAAACAGCTATAATTATTTGAGAAACATTTTGAATCAAAATTGGTTAGTACATTACAAAAAAAAATGGTAAGCGCTTCCAAAAACGCTATTTTTGTAGATGTGCGCTCGTAGATGTTTTAGCTTAAGCAGAAACAATATTTTGGTTGACTTCGATGCGCATTGTTATAAAAAAAATACTTAAAAGCAAGGTGCTTTAGACTATCGTTCTAATTTATTTATTAAAACAACTTCTAGAGAAGATGAGAACTTGTCTAATTATTTTGTCGCGTTTTTTGCTCATCTAATTCCGCTAGAATTACTTTTCTTCTAATGGAAAATAGAGTAGTTTTTGAATTTTAGAGTATCCTAAAACTGATGTCTTGATTTGAAGCTTTGCTTTAACAATTTCTATTTCAATGACTGGGTTTTCAAAAATCTCCTGATACGAAGAAGTACGAAAAAAATCTCCTGATTAATAGAACGTGAATTGTCTACTTTTTGTTGTTTTATAAATATACAGTGCTGATTTAAATTATCCAGATAAAATTTTCTCAAGTTGCGTTAAAATTAGACAAAAACTAAAGAGAACAAAAGTTGTTTAGAATTTCAACAGAATGGATATGGTCCAATTTTCCTCCAAAATTCTCAACCAAAACTTTACCCCAAAAATGAGTCATTTTGGCTTTTTCAATTAATCAAGAATTACGCTGAAGCACTTTGTTAATTGATGAGAAATACAAATCACAAGAAGCCTCTTACACAGCCCAACAAAGTTCTAGGAGGGTTAAACCTCCAAAAACCCGTATAAGAGAAAAGATGTTTGCTTGAGAGTCAAGAAAGGTGATTATTACTATATAGAATCCAAAATCTTTGCTTAAAAACAAATTTTGAACAGTTTAGTCAAATTGTTGAAGATTTGAACCTTCTAGAACTTTGTTTAGCTGTGTAAGAGGTTTCTTGTGATATATGTTTGTTATCAATTAACAAAGTAGTTTCAGCGTGTTTGAAAACTCAAATTTTGCTCATTTTGTTCGGATAACCTAAATCAGCAATGTATCTTTCATTGATTAATTCAATGTAAGCTTGCACGCAAAATTTATTTGAGTGTCACTTCAAAAAACGGCTCATCTGAAACTTTTTTGCGAGAAAGAAGAAAAAATTTTTTAGCCACTTTCTAGTTTTTTTTATTCACAACGCATCTCTAGAAACAAGGCTCTCATGATTGTAAAAGTTTGCACCGAAACTGGCTTGACCGCGCCAATCATTGACTTAACTCAGGTTCCCTCATCGCCTAGCCTCAACCAGATTTCAGCTGGATTTGTTTTAGGATTTGACGCAGGTCATATTGTTGACTTAATTGGGGCACAGACGACAAGTGCTTCATTCCAAGTTGAAGTTATCACTTACGAAGACAACTACATCTTGTGCGACGAGATCGAAATCCGTCCCCCGAATGCTGCAATTCGCCTGTACCCTACAAATTTTCCACAAAGACCAGGAAAAGTGTACGCTGACGGGCTGCAACCAGAAACGTGCTATACGTTGACTACAATATGCTGTGATTTGTATAGGGATAGTCCTTACATCAAAACTGGACAAGACTGTTATAAAGGAAGCAAGGATTTTTGCACTGGTAATTTTGTTTCTATTATAAAGGCAATTATTTGTCTGGTTTTTAAAGTGAAACCTCATTTTCGAGATCTAAATTTAAATAAAACATTCAACATAAGCTGGTGCAAGTATAGTTGCTTTTAATATAACGTGAAGCCAGGCGAGACACACAAGGACAACTTGCTTATTCAATTACTATTGATTTCGTCAAAATAACAATATCTCTTTGCATGGTATATCATTCAGCTTGATTTTGTGTGTAGCTCATTATCCCGGTCATCGAATAAATCTCATTGATGTTAACTCGACAAGTGCTTCCTTCGAAGTGGAAGTTGCTGGACACACCGACAACTACATCTTGTGCGACGTCATTGAAATCAGTCCCGCGAATGCTGCAATTGACCTGTACCCTACAGATGTTCCACGAAAACCGGGAATTGTGTACGCTGATGGACTGCAACCAGAAACGTGCTATATTTTGACTACAGTATGTTGTGATTTGTATAGATCAAGTCCTTACACCAAAACTGGGCGAGACTGCTATCGAGGAAGCGAGGATTTTTGCACTGGTACATTTTTACTCTTACAAGTAAGGTTTTTAGTCTGGTGCTTATTAAAGTCAGATTTTCACTAATTACACACTCTCATGAACCATGCATGCTTAGCTGGTGCAAGCATGAGATCTTTATTGCGCTAGCGATATATTTTTTTCGAGTTAACATATTGTTAAACAGAATCACTTGAATCACTTTTATTTTGGCTAGCTTGCACTGCTGTTTCATGTGGTATCGCAAATGGTGTAAAGCTCGCTCTGAAGAATACTCGTTTCCGGTATATCTGGTATATATAACGTTCTTTTATACCAGAGTAACATCGTTCTGAGATAGTTCTAATACTTGTTTCACTGTGTTACGTCTAACTTTGAGAATTGTTGCCAGAAAAAAAAACATATATTCATGGACTAATTTCTAATTTGATTGTTGGTTAATTTGAAACTTTCAATTCTAAAAAACTTTTCATAAAACTTACTTTGCTCTTACTGCAGCCCGATACGTCTTGTTTAAAATTGATACACGCAAAAGAAAGTTGGTTATTGAGTTTCGACTGAATTGGCAATGTTTACGTGTTTAGCTAGCCCCGAGCATCAATTAGATTTGATTGATGTTGACCCGTCGAGTGCTTCTTTCGAAGTGGAAATTGTCGGATATACCGACCACTACATCTTGTGCGACCTAATCGAAATCAGTCCCCCGAATGCTGCAATCGAACTGCACCCTGCAGATGTTCCACGAAAACCGGGAATTGTGTACGCTGATGGACTGCAACCAGAAACGTGCTATAATTTGACTACAGTGTGCTGTGATTTGTATAGAGATAACCCTTACACCAAAACCGGACGAGACTGTCATCGAGGAAGCGCACATTTTTGCACATGTACTTTTTTTCTCCAAAAAACGTAGCTATTCATCAGTTTTTTTTTCAGCCAGTTTTTGATAATTAAGTACTCTTATAAGACTTTCAAGTCAAGGTTAAACAGCAACCAGGTTGTTTCATGATTCCAGATGTACCCACTTTTGCTATTTTTTGATTACGTCTTCACTATGTTATTGATTTTTAGCTTACGTTGTTTTCGTTGGAGGACAAAATTTTTTCATGGTATAAAAATACAGTTTTTTCATTTGAAATAATCATCACTTACTTTCGTAAAATAGAGTTTGCCCCTGATGTATCCCAGTCGTGATTTTGCATGCAAAATTTGAACAGTTTTAGTAGTTTTTTTAACCGGTTACGCTTAACGCTTTCTTTGACAATAAGACACACAGAGAAAAATTGCATATTGATTGTTTACAGAGCGCTTCAAAACTACAATCTATTTTTGAGTGGTTTGTCACTTCAGTTGATTCAACTTGATCTCATTGCCGTAAAATTGACAAGCGCTAGTTTCCAAGTACAAATTTCTGGATACTTCGACAACTACATCTTGTGCGACGAAATTTACATTAGTCGCGGCATAGTCTAAGATCTAATCGCGATATATTTTGATAATGCGGTGCGACCTTATAGTGATAAGGTCGCGACAGTCTGGACATAAGGCGCTGACTTGGAAGCTGCAATCTTAAAACTCCTAGAAAACCATTATTTGGATGTACCGACTGTTACTTTTTGATGTTTTGATATCACAACGAGTAAGCTTTTTGTGTTTCCGACAATAAAAAAACAAGAAAACAGTAAAAAAATTAAATTTTTTGAGCGGGAAGGTTGTGTTATTTGGAAAAAATGTGCTTGATGTAATGCAAAAGCTTTTAAATGGCTACAATAAATTGAATAAGATATATAATGCCTGAAATTCAAAAAATACTACCGAAACAAATGCACCAGCTGCCAAAGTCGCTAATATAATTTTTCGGTTAACCTGGTCACGCTTAACTTTTTTTTGATCGCGCCGGTCGCGGATATTTTTCTTCATGATATTTTTCCGCCTTTGATCGCGCCTGTGTCACGACAGTTGCCGAAACGTTTACTCTGTCTGCATAGACTGGAAACAACCAATTTTGGACCTAACCATAAACGATCCACCCGAAAAGTTTACACGGGTTACTTGAAGCATATAAGAAAATGAAAAACTATTTTGTGACTTAGTTTAAAAAGTTTAATTGTTGCGTAGCGTTTACCTTTACAATGCAATTATCTCAGCTATTTTGTCTAGAATCAACCCTTTGGTACTTTTTAAGAAAACAATTTTTGGCCGACCGACCCTAAACTTTTTCTAAAGGCGCCTTTGGCGCCAGTTTATACTATTTTTTGAGGGGGAGCGCGCGCCAAAAAATGCGATCTTTTTCTACCTGTTTTTTAAAGTGTCTTTTTCTACCTGTTTTTTTTTTTTCAAAAATTTGCCTGCGGCACAGAAAATTTGGTTTAGTGCTTTAGCAGAGCTCGGAAAATCAATTGGTCAGCTAAAAAAAGGTCGTCAAAATTTTCGACAATTTTTTGAAAATCCGCCCCCCCCCCCTCGAGAAAATCCTAGTTCCGCCCCTGGCTCTTACTGTCCCTTTGAGCCTAAGGAATCGTTAAAAACCAAAATGGGTCTGAAAAAACCCACCAGAAAAGTTTTCAACCTCCACTTACAAACTTTTCATCTTTTCGGGTAAGTTGGAACAAAAAACTGCTCTTATAAGGGCAAAACCATGAATACTCTGACTGCATTTTGACGTCCTGTTAAAAAAAAGTTTGATGGAAAAATACTGGGCATCCAATAGAAAGTTGTCTTCATTTTAAGCTTAAATCATTAAGCTTCCCAAATTGGCTAACATGGCACTTTCCAGACACTTTCAGTAACTTAATATTCAGTAACTATGAGAAAAATGGTCGTTGGATAAATGTTTTTTTTTCTTTTTTTTTTGCTGAAGACATCACTAGCTTTCAGATGATGTGAAGATCCCGCCAAAAAAATTAATAATAAGTCGGTTGCCTGTCGAAAAAAAACCACACCGAGCGCAAAATTCCATCACTTCCTTCGCAAGTCGGAACAAATAAACGAGCGTATTAAAAACGTCATTCACTGTCTAGGTAAAAAGCGAAATTATTTTCAATGTTTTTTTTTAGTGATCATCATTTGTAGATGGAAAAAACATAATGTCCCACTCCAAAGTCAGCGTTTTGGATTGTGACAAAATGAGTTGTCTCGGCAGTCCAAAAACGATGTCAGACTCCAATCGTGTTTGCACTGAAAATGTCATGTGTCATGTTTTTCAGCTGTCACGGGCAATTTATATGTCAGTCTCGGAGAGGAAATGAACGGCCAAAACTTTGATTGGTCAACCCTTGATATTCAAGTCTACATGACAAAAGACTATACTCCATATGATAATTCCGATTATGGTCTCTGGTTCGTCGACGGAGCCTCTTGCACCTTTTGGATGGCCAAAAGTAATCTGCATAGTTTGCCATGTAATGTAGACCCAACATTTGAGTCCAGCTCATACCCGGCGGAACTCCAGATGCGAAATTTGGAGCCAGACAGTGTGTATACACTCACAATTGAGAACTTTTATTCTCCAGATCAAGCAATTTATGATATGGTTGGAGGAAACTTTACAATATGCACTTCTTCAGGTTAGTTAATCTCTCCCACCCACCTAAAAATATTTCAGGGGGGGGGGGCAGTTTATTTGATTTATATTTTTCATTCTTGCACACTTCTATTATTGTAAATGGGGACTTGGAAGATTGTAAATCTGGATCTAAAATTGCTCTGGTTAAAAGTCTGTTTAATTTTTGCAAGTAATTTTTCTTTCAGGCAATTATTCGAGGACAAAGCCTTGGAACTTGGTCGCCGAGGGTCAAAACATATCATCTGCTTCTGACTCTATAAACATTCCACCCCAATTTTTCACCACTCAACTGTTCAATTATGCGTCTATAGGAATTCTTAATGAAACTGAAGATTTCGTTGAAAGGCTCTGGATTCCATTTGACAATTCAGTCGGCCATACTTATCACGACTTGGCTGCAGACAATCAGTTCTGGATGGAATTCGTGTTTCCATCTTTTAACTGTGACATTGGAGACATCCGCTACCGTCAAGAGCTTGTAGCTTGTACAGGTAAAGAAGAAAAAAATATCGATGTTTTTTTCGATGATTGCGTCTGAATTAAATTCTTTTAAGGGACGGGTAATCTCTATAGCAAGTGTAGTTTGTAATTTTCACTACAAAAGCTTTTAACTATTCAAAATAATAAAATCACATTTCCAATAATTAATCCATTAATAATTATTTTACCCCATTTTTCTTCACAAATATAGTTAAAATGGGGTCCTTACAGGATTAAAGGCACTAGTTTATCAAGGAAGGTTATCTTGCAAGACCTTGCAAGATCTGCAAGATGGAGGGTATCTTGCAGGAGTCTTGTCAAATTCTATCAAGATCTTGCAAGATAACTATCATGCAAACTTTTCACGATAATTTATTTTAAGCGCCAGAACATCACTATTGAGATCCAATTCGACTACGGTCACATAGAACTCCCTTGATTGACTAGGGTGTAGTTCAAAAGCCCCATTGGACCAACGGATTTAAGGGAGGGGCGGGGGCGGACAGCTCCCTTCTCGTTAAGGATTCGACCCTTTGTCGACCGACCCCCTTTGTACTAATTTGAGATGTTCATTTTTGGCTGACGGAGCCTTAAGTTTTTTTAAAGGCACCTTTGGCGCCAATATTTACTACTTTTGAAGGGAGAGCGCGCGCCAAAAAACGCAATTTTTTGGACAAATTTTCCAAAGTGCCTAGCACGCCTTTTTTGGTCTGTTTCTTTTTAAAAATTCAAAGTTTTTCCAAAACAAGGTCCTTATAGTGCTTTAGAGAGCTCGGAAAATCAAAATTATCGAATTTTTCTGAAAACATAACCTCGCCCCACCTCTCGTAAAAATCCTTGATCCTTCCCTGACCATTTGTTTAATTTTTAAACCTTATTCCATTTTGATTTTTATTCGCCATTTTAGCCCCTTTGTTGCCTGATGTAATATTCGAAACCTATGACTATGGGATCATACACTATCAAGTAGTCCATAACAATTCCAACTTTGACACGATCACAGCTTCTGTTGAGCCTCCAGACGCTCCCCCTCTGAATAAATTGGAGGGATACTTTCTCGATCTGAAGTATGCAACTGTGTACACTCTAACCGTGCAAGTAGCGGTCGGGTCGAAGACTGACTGTGGACAAACAAAATCAGATGATCTTAGAGTTTCCCAGAAAATGAAAACAGCTCTTACACGTAACGTATAACGCTGAATCCAAGAGAGTTATTGGCCATGTAGGAATACTCGATTGTTAATGGGATCAATTAGTGCGTTTTTTAAGTTTTGGTGAAAGCCAGGAGCAGATTTAGGGGCGGGGGGGGGGGTTGCGGACGCTTCTTGCTTTCAGGTTTTTGACATCATCAGCAGTCAAAAGGCTCCCCAAAAGTGAAATTATTTTACGACATCCATTTTTGGCCACTTTACACAAATGTCATATAACTCTCAAATTACCAGAATTATTAGTTTCACCTGAGAATCACAATTATTCGGCCAAACAATTGACCAAATATTTTAAAAAAAAATGTGACATTGTTTTTTTATTGGCAATATCGGCAACCTTCGGCATTTTATTTGGGCGAAATTACAACAGCCTAAGTAATTTAGTTTTTGGACACATGTGAAAATCAGTAATAAACTTAAAAAAATTCATGACATTTAACTTCGCTCCGATTTCTTTGAACGAAACGAAAAAGATATTACCCATAATTTAGCATTATAACTCTAGAGAGCTGCAAAAATGTTGGAACAGACAGAATTAATTAAAAAGAGCAAATGACCAATTTCAGAAAATTTTGCATGCAAAAACTAATTTTTCAGACAAAAAGTATGTCTCTATGTCATCTAAAAATTCAAACTTGCAAGCAAAAATAGATCAAAATTAGGAGAATGCTCTTTTTGATTATTTCTGACAAGTCCGCACTTTTTTGAACTCTCTATACAGAGTTATGTGTACTTCTTTTTGCTTCTGTTAATGAAAAACGTAAGTTTTTTCCACGCCTTCGCATGTATGTATAGTTTTAGCTGCCAGTTGCTGTGCTACTTCTGCTACTCTGGCTTGTGACGAGAAGAATGTGACAGTATGGGCGGTGGCAATCACAGCATGTGTCATTTTTCTAATTGTCAGTGTGACGATGAACATCGTTTGCATCGCTTACATTTGCCGAGTGGACAGTCAGAAAACAACACGGTTAATTTGAACTTTTTTTGTAATTGCTGTAAGCTTTTCATGTATGGCTCATAAATCTGATTTGGAAATGAAGTTTTGACAGAAACTCTGAAAAATGATACAAATCATATGTTAGGTTATATTCAAACCATAAAAACAAAAAAAAATTTTTAGTAGAAATAATATTTTTTTACTGGTAAAATGAATTGAGTTGTACTAATAGGCAGGCGCTGATCTAGGAACTTCTCGAGGGGGGCGGACTTTCAAAAAAAAATTGACAATTTTGTTGACCTTTTTTTAAATTATTCTTTAGGTCGAACAAATTGATTTTCTGAGTTCTCCCAACCTATTGTAAAGACCCTAATTTGATCAATTTTTCTGCGCCGCAGTCAAACTTTTGAAAAAGGGCGTTGTTTAGGCACTTTTGGGAAAACTTCGACCAAAAAATTGCGTTTTTTCGGCGCGCGCTCCCCCTCAAAATTAGTATACATTGGCGCCAAAGGCGCCTATAGAAAAATTTTAAAGTCAGTCAGCCAAAAATTGGTATCTCAAAATAGTACAAAGGGGGACCCTTTGGGTCTGCGGGGGGTCGATTTCCTGAGGGGGCGTCCTCCCCTAAATCCGCAACTGTTTATAGAGATCAATTAAATTTAAAATGGTCGCAAAGTTTGAATAACTACTTGATCGCACATGAAAGATATTGTAATTTTATAAAATCATCTTCCTTTAAATCGGAGGAGTTGGGATCTAGCTTTTGTATAAATCGAAAACTAAAAAAGCAATAGGGTGTTTGCATTTTTTGAGATTCCATGATTAAATTTTTAATAACTATTTTGAAAAGAAATTTTGGCGAGCGATGAAGAGAGAAAAGTTTTTTTTTAGCTCTTCAGGGTTTTCCTAAAAACCATTTAAGTGATCAACACAAGAAACTGCTGTACAAGACTAAACAAATTTTTTCTTTTTTTTAACTTATTGCGCGACATGGCTTGAAAATGATTAATGCGAAATCGGCAGTGAGGCTGTGGAATCATGAGACAAACGGTTAAAAGATAAAGTGCATCTCCCGAAACTATCTTATTCAGCTAAATTTGCGGAATTCAGAAAAAATACTACGTAGTTTAGAACCATTTGCGGATTTGACAAGCTATTAATATTACATTTGCGCAAATTATGACTTTAAGTTCAACACTTTTTTTTGGTTTTTGTTCGACCATTAAAAATGGAGAGGAAATATGTGTTTGTTTTAGATTTTTTTGAACTTTTTTCTCGCAAAATCAGGTATCACAAAAATCGTTCGAATTGGTTGAATGATATAACATATTAAAGCCCAGTATCAAAAAATGTTCCTGTTGTGAGAAAATCAATTTTTTTTTTGGTTTTTAGCATAAATTCAAGCGAATAAAGCGAGCAAGCAGGCTCACAATTACTTATTTATGCGTAATTTAAGCCTCAAAAAACTTAGTTTTAATCAGGTGAATTTAGGGTTTTAGCGCCATTATGGAAACCAAAAACTTCGAAATTTCCCAAAATTTCTGCAAAAATTATGAAAAATTTTTATTTCAAAAAATTTGTTAAATAATTTATTTTGTTTTTCTTGCCATTTAAAAAAAAATTGTTTTACAATTTTCTTATTTCACAATGACTATAAAATGTGCCTAAGTTGTTGCATTTCGTTCAGGTCCCTTTATCACACCACACAGAAAAAACGAGGCTATTTTGAAATTAAAACTTTTTTAAAACTACGGTTGAAACATTGTGCTGCTTGCACAGTAACCGGCTATCCTTTTTTTTGTTTTTGGATGATGTTATTCACTTAAAAATTAAATTAAATTTAAGAAAAATGGATTCAGCTGTTAAATTTTGACATGTTCAAGCCTTGTCTCTAAAATCAACCGAAAATATACAATTATCTACGTTAACAAAATGTACAAGTTGGCCCCGTGATGTAACTGTAAAAGCACTTCAAAGCTCACTCAGACGTTTTTTTTATTCAAAAATATATTATTCAAACAAAGAAAATCTACGTTAGAACCTTTGTTTTTTTATCAGTTTTTCTGAAAATGAAAAACTTCGTTTTTTTTTTTGGTTCTCGCGCCAAAATTTAAACCACAAATCAAAAGGCAGCTGATGATTTGCAAGTTCAAGTTGGGCCCTAAAATACGAAAGAGTGGACTGACAGTTTTAAATACTTGCGAAAAGTAGAATAAATTAGAAGATTCTCATCTGGGTTGACAATCTTTCATTTTTGACTGTTTTACTAGTAGACTACCGATTGAACTACTAAAAACTACTGAACTGCAACTAAAACATAAGTACTTCTGGAAACTAAAGCACGCTGTACGCGTTTAAATTTTGTTAAATTGGAGTTTAGAATCTGTTTAGATACATTTTGATACATGGTTTTAATTTTACCTCTGCACTATTTTCTTTAGTTTATTACACAGTTGAGAATTTTTGTATATTTATGGAGCCAAAATCAATAAACTCTGAAGCTAGACAATGAGTTTCTCATAAAACCAATACCCTACTCATATTTTGAAAAAGATTTTTTTTTGATTTCATGATGAGACAGTAAAGTTTTAAAAACAAAGCTTTTTCATTCTAGCTGATCTTATATTGGTCCAAAATTTCTTTCAAAACCAATTTAATTATCAAATAAAAAAGAAATTGTAGAATGAATTTTAATTGATATTTTCAAAATATCACAAAATATCAAGTTTTGATACCTCCAATGCCCATGGGGCGAGACTATAAAAACCAGCCGTAAACCCATTCCCCCCTGATAGGTTTAACTGGAGAAAATACAATCATTTTTGAGAAAATAGTTTAGAGAAAAACATGTTTTCAATTCGAAAAATAACAAGTTTTAAAATTAGCTGAAGCTATTTACATCATACAAATTTTATTCAATAATGAAGGTAGACATTTTACGGTAGCTCATATGAGGTTAGATTGTACAGTTGATCAATAAACTTAAAATTTATAAAGTATTTGTGAATTTACATATTCTGTTTTCTATCAGTAAAAGACCCTGACAAACTTTTTATGATTAAAAACTCTATCTAATAAGACGAACTTACCTTTGGTTTCAAATCGAAACCAAACTGCTTGTGTCAGAACAAAACCGTGATTAGACCGACTGCATTTTCAATAATTGGAAAAGAAGTGTTGTTAAAAAAATAAGTAAAACTTCCTTGCAAATCATTCCTACTCACAAAGTGTAGAAAAACTGTTCACTTCTATATCTCTTTACGCTATATTTGGATAAATTTGCTTGTTTTCTATCATTTTGGAAAATTTTTGAGCTGAAATGGTTTGCCACAGACACTACGAGTTGTTAGACAACCAGTAAATAGCAAACAATATTTTAACCAAACGGGCAAAACTGGCATTTATCAAACCCTTATAGTTTGTGAGTATGACTACCAGTGGGATTTTTTTTGAAACTGAAAATCTCCATCGCAGCAAAAATTGCTTCATGTTCTTCATAGCTCGCAACAACCGGAGGCAACAAATAGAGTGCAAAATTTGCCTTTGGCTAACTAGGCAATGCTGTTGTTTCGACTTTTGTAGAAAAAAGTTAAAGAACAGTTTCGTCTTTTTAACAATCATTTTTCCAACGGATTTTGAACAGATTTTTTTATTATAATCTCTACGGACATTTTAAAACTTTCTCAAAAAGTTTAACGCCATGACCTCAATTTAAAAAAAAACTAACTCTCTGTTTAATTTTCTCAAACTTATGGGGAATTGAAATCTGCATATTTGGCAATATAACTGGAACCTGATCTAAACTATATTTTATGATTGGATAAATTAAATGTTTTACCAATGTAAAGTATTTAATATTAACCAATCATGATCCATCTAACTAACAACCCACTTATTTGTAAGTGCTGAAGTTACTTGTAATTTCAGCACCAGAGAGATTTGAATTTAACTTAGAAATTAGTTGGACTCTCCCGAGCACTTCAGCAGCCGCAATAAACCCGTATACCCTAGATCTATTGAGCCTAGCAGAGACTAGTTAAACAACCTGAGACTAGATAGTATAAGAGTAAGATTAGGATCGGTATTAGACTAAGAAGTTGCACGAATCTATCCGGCCGAAAATAAGATAGCGTGACGAGCAGACGGTGTACCCTATCCGAAATTACTCTATGAGTTACACCTCGGTCCTAACTCATCTGGTGCGACCATAAGTCTCGAACAAGACCTTACTAGATTAGAATTAACCAAAAATAGATTAGAAATTAGACAAAAACATTTACAAAATGTTATACGACAATAATTTAATTGAAATGTCTCTCCGACTCAATAGATCCGAGCCAATATTCCGAACCATAATAGAACTACCCGGAATTGGAAGAAGACATCGAACCAAAGACGACATACGACAAAGTAGAAACTTGCCGTATAGTTATATGATAGTTCGGCAAAAGCCAGAACAAACTTTTATATTTCGAATACTACTTGCAATGAATTTAGATTTCCATTTGCAAACATAAAACCTTGAAGTTAATCTTCAAAATCATTTCAGGCGCTAAACAAAATTAATATTATACAATAACGATTGATAAAAAGATCTAAGATCGTTTTCCTAAAATTCTGCAGTATTATACAAAACATGTTTGAAAAATATTTATTGGAAAATAAAAATAAAAATTAGCAGCATGACAATAAATGGTTAGTAATCATAAATCATCTTGTTGTTCCAGCTTCATCACCTAAAACATAACAGCAATCATCAACTCACTAATATCATCAAAACACTAAATCTTTCCTTTACACACATTTAAAATTTTATTAAAACTTAAAGTCACTTAATTTAAAATCAGATCATCAAGGCTTATCCTTGGATCTTAAATCATTTTCTATTCAGTTAAAATTTAAACTCGAACAAAACGACAAACACTAAAAAGAAAAATAATAACGAAACAAAGACAAATAACACGAAAAAGATTTTCAAAAAATCGAAACGCATTTTCAGAATCAGAAACCAACAGTTTAGACGAACTTTA